ATTTTCAGCTGACCAATCAGTAGAAGAAAATTAGAATTGACCACCCAATTTTAATGCAATGCACACCTACCTTATAATCCAAATAAGAATAATAAACCAGTTCCGTTCGGATCCGGTCGCAATTGGCTCTTGACGGTTAATAGAAGAACCTTTTCCAACCTCTTTCGACGATTAAACTCCACGCGACCTCATTTTTCCCCATCTCAAAACTTTCTGAGTGGCCGAAAGCTAGGCGAGGTGCTCGGACGGTAGATTGAGGCGAAATGGATGTCGGAGAACCGACGGTAGATTGAGGCGAAATGGATGTCGGAGAACCGACGGTAGATTGAGGCGAAATGGATGTCGGAGAACGGACGGTAGATTGAGGCGCCGCCGCCAAGGACATCCGTCAAGTGAGATAGGGGAGGGCGCTCTTGGCCTCTCCGCTTCCTGCTTTCTTCTGTGGACTCCTGATGGAGTGGATTTCGGATCGGTCCCTCTGAATTCACGGAACGTGATCGAGGAGGAGCGAGAAATGAGCTCGATTGTGAGAACTTTCACTGAAAGCAAGTGATTTTTTTTTTTTTTTTACCTTCGAAGGGTTGGAAATCTGGGACGTCAGTCCTTCCCTCGCTTTTCCTCCTGCTTGCTCAGCCCCGCACTCTTCTGTCCTGAGGAAACATTTCTGTTTGGAGTTCCAGGTGTCGCTTGATGCGATTATGCTCTTAAGCCTGGGCCGGATCTTCCTCAGAAAAAATTAGGGATTTAAAGATGCTGGAGGAGGACGACGACGGTTGCATTTGCTCTCTTCAGTAGGAGCGAAGAAGCTGAGGGTTCGTGATTCGCTCGCTAGTTGTCAGCACTGTCAACCGTGATCGTCCGATGGCTCCTTCCGAGTGACACGTGCTCAATTTTCGCACACCGGCCCCGTCATCTATTTTTGAGGTGGATGTTGCGGCTTTGGTCCGTGTCTCGGTTTCGCGAGGTGATGGTATCTGTGGTTCAAAAGGAGTATAGTATAGTTCTAAACGTGTCAAATGAAATTGTTGTGTGTCTGGTTAATGTCTGGTTCGAAGGCCTCTCAGGAGCATTCTATGCATTACAAAGTGAAATGTTTTTTACTGTTTGGAAGTTGTATATTCTATTGGCATGATAAATTAGTGATCATCAAGTGCCACTTTGGTGAAAGAGTGGTTTGAAATGTTCCAACTGTTGAGAACATACTTATAAAACAGGTAAAATGAATCAATCCAAAGTATACCTTATATAGGCCAAGAGTAGTGCTACGTTTAGCATGGAATGAATGCTTTGATTCATCTACAGGATCACATATATAATAGCAATCTTGCTATTTCACATTCACCCATTTCCCATTCCCATATAAGGTTGTCATCCATTGTTACTCCCAGATATTTCAATGACTTCAGTAAGTGACCCTCCCTCACAATCTTACAAGAACCTTCACTGATCTTGGAGTGTTATAAATTATCATGAAGTCATTTTTTTCCACATTTGTTGTCAGTCTTACTTTTCTGCCCACCTATAACTAGTTCAAGTTAAGATTTAAAGACATTTATGATCTATGATCATAATGATAATTATGGCATAGCTCTTGTGACTGGCTGTGCTAGGCCTATGTTGTATTGTGCATGAGGCGAAGACCGAGGCTCACGATACCCTAATCACGTTTGGGATACTTTCAATCAGCAGATATAGGAACAAGCCTGCTCACTTATCAAAGAAGCGTTGAGATGAGTGATGCAGAAGAGCAAGGAAATGGCACTGTGCCTACTGGAAGTGAAGGAGAGAATGCGGCTACAGAACAGACGATTGTTTTAGTGACTGGCGGATCTGGTCTCGTCGGGAAGGCCATCCAAAGAGTCGTTGAAGAAGAAATCCCTGATGATGAACAGTGGATTTTCTGCAGTTCAAAGGATGCTGATCTATGGTTTGTTCTTACTGAAACAGATATGCAGAATACAGGAGGTCAAGGGCTCATTGATGTTCAAGCTTTATAGCCTATGGCAGTTCACTAAACTTCAACTAACAACCTATAAACTTGGACATTCTGTATCGTAAGCAGGCACAACAAAGCTTAGAAAAATATTGAGGACATTATGGATTGGTTATCAGCTGGAAGCATCCCCAGATATAGGAGGAGCAGGGTCCATAGTGGAAGATAACATTATATGAAGAGAAAAAAAAAAGAACACTTGTTCCTTATCTTTGCCCCTCTTTTTCATTCATTTGTTACCCAGTGGTCCTGTCAACAGGGATTACCTCATAAAATTGACAGGTGATACCAAACATGAGACACCATAGGCAGCAAAAAAAAGAAAGGGAATATGTGCCGTGAAAGCTTTGTTGAGTGCAGCCCTTTCACCCTTTACATAGATGCAAGTGAAACTTTATCGCCAAGGAGTAGAGAAGGGGGAAAATAATAATAATTTGTTTAAGGTAATGTGCAGATGATGTGAGTATTAAAATGAATCAAATGTCACCTTGATTTGACTAACCAATTCATTCACCAAGTTCTTAATTGATAAATGTAGGAGGTATTCCATGTTTTTCAGGAGTGAAAATATAATCTAGAACCTTCATCATCCCAGTGGAATAATCATTGTTGCTAACTTTTGAGAGAGCTTATAGATGGCTTAGTATTCCAGCCCTTCAATTTATTGATTGGGCATACTTGTCCTTAGAAGGGTCTCAATTTATTATATTGGGAAGCCAGTGAGTTATAATAAAAATGTCCCCATCCTGTCTTAAATCTTCATCCTGAGTAGAGAGTGGGTTCAAGAAGAACCTGACCATAACCATAAGAAATATTAATGTCTCCATTTGGCTTATGCATGGAAGGGAGATCTATTATTGCAATGATGAGAAATTTAAAAAAATCTTGCTCTTCTTTTCATAACAGAGGCTCTATGGGATTTTTCTAGTAGGTACCAGCTTAAGGTCACAATTTTGCACCATTGCCATTCAATCTTTCCTCCATCTCATTATCTTTTATTCAACTAGAAGCCTTCCATCAAAATTTATATTTTCTCCTCTGCTTGGAAAAAAAAAACCTTCCCTTTTACTTCCCAATATGAAAATTTTCTTTTGTATAAAGCAAAATTCCCCAATGATGATACAACATTTTCCACTTCATGCATCATTACATCAAAAATGTGGAAATCTGGCAGAGTCACTGCTCACATTTCTCATATCTCTACCTTTTCCCTCAAAAAACCACCTTCAATTTATTTTGTCTGTTGCACCCCTTAGGATGTTAGGTGAAACTAGGACTTTAAACAGTAAAAGAAAGCGATTGAATTAAAAAGGAGTTTTTATTGTTGCTCTTTTATTTTTAATAGATGAAGCACCTGGAACAGCAGAAATTAATATAGTAGCCCCTAGAATGCAGCAGAAAACTGCTCTAATCTTGTGTGCTGTTGCCCATATGCAAGTTTCTAGGTGGCAGTTCATAATGTAGAGATACTTTCAAGTAAACCCTGGGAAAAATAGGGGATATGTGCTTGAATTTTTGTTCTGAGCTCCTGAATCATGGCTAATGCATCAATATGTATCAAAATTTTATCATTGTTTCTCAGGTATTCCCTGGTTTACTATTGAGAATAAAGTAGGTGTAGCCCATCCACCTCAAAGGGAATGGAGTACCCTGTCCATTTTAAATGTTTAATTTATTTTTCTGTAATTGCTCATAGCCTTACTTTGACTAAATCAATTTGATTGCAATATCACAGGTCTGTTGGCCATATATTACTCCATGCATAATGTGTCAAAATTTTTGCATTTGTGAGAACAGAGACAGGTTAAAAGTCATTGTTTTTTTTTTCCCTTACCCTATATATCTGGCCTTATGTTTGACCTTGGGGATTTTCATGCCTACCATGGCAGAACTTTAAGTCTTATACCCATCATATGACATTTTAATTCTATAACACTTTTACATAGCCAGGACTGAAAGTGGTATACCCTTCCCATTGCTTCCCCATCATTTCTGTCTAGATCCACCCTCAGATCAGGAGTTCAGCTTTAGTTCCTTTTTAAAAATGCAGCCCATACTATGCTTTCTCAAATATCACAGAATAAATTAATTGATGAAGACTCATTTGAAAAAGGCAAAATCATGAGACCTGTTAGGTTTAAAAATGCTAAAATTTGAGTTTGGCTTACATTACTGCTTTTTTTTTTGTCATCCTTTTTTCCTCCAGATCCTTAAATCTTTTTTTCTTTTTTTTTTTCCCTCTAGCAACTTGGAAGAGACCAGGGCCTTGTTTGAGAAGCATAGACCAACACACGTGATTCATCTTGCTGCTATGGTTGGAGGACTTTTCCACAATCTCAGGAACAACCTTGAATTTTTTGTGAGTCCCTAGTTGCTTCCTAGTGTCTGGTAATTCATATTTTCTAAGTCACTCTATGTTGCTTATTTCTGAGCATCTTGCAACAAGCAATTACTCAAGTTTCTTCCTTTGCAGAGGAAAAACATGGCCATGAACGACAATGTTCTTCTTGCATGCCATGAGTTGGGAGTGAAGAAGGTAGTTTCCTGCCTCTCAACCTGTATCTTCCCCGACAAGACTACTTATCCGATTAGTGAAACAATGGTGAGTGCTGGGAAGGGATGAAGCAGACATATTTTGTGCCTGTTTTAAATTCATTATTGCCTTTAAAAAACATGAATATTCAAGGGATGTTTTCATTCTACTTCTGTTTTCTTCCACTCACTAGCTCACACCTTGACATAATGCTTGTTCAAAAAAGAAATAGACAGGTTATAATTTAATACATGAACTCCTGATAAGGTACTTTGCCAGCTTGACTAGCATAGTAGTAATACTTGAAATGTTCTGAGTGGATGAGAGAGGTTTTTGGCCACCTAGATCTGTTTTTCCTGATTCCTGTTACACCACAGGATTTCTCAAGTCATTGTCCTTCAGTGTGGCTAGTCATCTGATGGTCCTCTGTGCAATTACCTATCCCAAAGTCAAATGTTCCATTTATTACTGCCAATTTTTTAAATATCAGACAAACTCAAAAAATGTGTTTCTATCATGGCTTGATGCTCAGATCCTTTGTGAGATGTGGACATTTTGTGAAAAGTGAATGCTAAGAATTTGCTCATGTTTCAAGTTGTGTCATTATAAAATATTATGAATGGCCTCCTGGAGACGCTGCTCTTTTTCCTTGACCTCAATGTAATGGTGATTGCTTTAGATCTGATTAAGTCATTCAGTTTCAGTATGTGAAGATATCTCATCAAGGTGAAAGAAATGAAAATTAGCTGTCGCATTTTTGTATTAGCCCCACACTTTTGCTAATGTGAGAACCATGAAACTTCTCACTGATTGAGTTTAATTTTAGTTTAGAAGTATGTGCACTCCATGGAAATTACTATTTAGGATACCTTGATGATAATGAGTATTAGTCACTCCCAGCAATGAAGACCGACAAAATAGGAAAAGGCTGTTCAGTTATAGTAATGAACATATATAGCCGAAAGTATGGGATAGAAAAAGAAAAGCCAACCCCAAGTTTCACAGGAAATGCAAAGTACTCATACTGTAAAATGAAATAATTCTATGCATAATGTAAGCCCATTTCATGATCTCTTTTATGCAAAATTTGTATTTTTCACTCCCTAAAGTGCTTGTGGTGGAGAGCAAAGATTATGCGTAGGTCACTGAGGCTCACTCAAGGCATGTCTGCAAAAGGGGCAAAAACTGAAAGATCTTAACCCATTGACGCCAGGAACCATAATATTACGTTTTTAAACCCATAGTGTTCTGGAGTCGCTGGGCGTGAATGTGCCAGCTGAAATAATCTTTTTGGAGGCGGGTTGTCTTTTCCGATGCACCTAGTATAATTTGCAATATCATTTTATATAGCATGAAGTACAGAGTGTTTAAAAAGTAAAATTGTGTTAATTTGAAATATATAATTTTTTCTATTTGGATATATGAAGTTAGCACACTTAATTCATGAGATTTTGTTTTTGATCCCTCATTTCACAATGAAATTCTGTTCCTCAATAAATTAATTGGTTGAAGTAAGGGTGCATTGTACAGTCTGATGCTTTCTGGTTGCAGTCCAGCTACTGGAAGCTCTTATCAGAGCTGCCAGGAGGAGTGGACTGTTGGACTGCTACTGGTAAGTGCCATACTTTGTAATGTGCCTGGAATTCAACTCTTTGATTTATTGTGAAATAAACTCCCATAGTGAGATGAGAGACGTACTAATAAAACCTCATCAGTCCCTGATCAAGTCCTCAAGGTTTCTTTGCATTAAATACCGACCTGATAGCAACAGAGAAATTTCACATTATCCCATTCATTGTTTACATTTTGTGTAAATATGTCATGCCCTAGCTCTTAATATGTGCTAGCTTGACATGTTATTGGCTCATATTTTTTATTATAAATTTCTCTACATTTGCATTGAAATTTGCAGCATGTGAAGTAAAAAATTTTCATATGACAGACATTTGGCTGTTTTTCCGATTTCCTGTAGCACACAGCATTTCATGTGCTAACTTACTGGCAGCAGTGAATGGGTCAAGTTTCTATTCCAGCACCCTGTATATATTTTTTACCATTATCCTCTTCAGACCTGACAGCAAAGTTATGTGCCAATTTTGAAAACCTTCGGCTTGTTGTCTAAGCTCCACCTCTTATGGGCTAAGCAATGGAGTCAATATTTTTTTCTTCTCTATTTTTTCAATATTCTTTATCTTATTGGAGGAATGGAATGGTATGTGTACATGTTACCAGGATATCTTCCTTAGAGTTGGCAACATGCATTTTGTGAAAGTAAAAGAAATTCATACAAGCTAGCAATCGAGGATCTTATTTGACAATGTTTCTCAGCCCTGTCACAGTTATTGCACCAACAAGAGTAGCAACTTGGGCTGGGTGGTACTCGATAATACTGAAGTACTGTGGTACCCCACACCTTCCTTTGACCCCACCCTGCTCATGAGGGAGCGGTTAGTAATCCCTAAATACTGGGCCTTCCATACTGTGGTTCTCACTTTTCCAAGTATTCAGTATGTGGACAGCACCACAAGAAATGGCTTCCTTTGGTGGTAATGAGACTGGAGGCATTTTCCTATCATGTGGTTTGCCCATGTCCAACGTAGAATCCAGACCAGAAAATTATCGTGATGAGGGGACAGAATCCCAGGAGAGACTGGGGCAAGTGTGAGGGGGGATGCCGAGAGAAGCTGGAGGGGACTGCCTGTGAATATCTACTTGAAACAATCAAGGGGGGTGCTCCCCCCTTAAATCTACCATTGTCCATATCTTGGTCTTCTTTCTGGTCTTCCTCTTCCTTTTCATCGGCCTTGTGCTGGGAGGGCCTGAACAAATCATCTTCATCCTCAGGTAGATCAATGTCACTCTCTTGAAGCTGATCAAGGAGTTCCATGTAATTGGACACTGAAAGGGAATTTCACTGGCACTATGCCTTGTGGCATGTATATATGCCATCTGTGTTTTGACCCATCCTATAAGAGCCCTGTGATAGGTCAGATATCCCTTTATTGATAAATAGTTTCTCAACTCTTTTTGGCTATGCAGTTCAACAGCATCATAATTTAGAGCCAAAAATGAGCAAGCAACAATGGCTTTTATGATCGCAGGTGATGCGGATGGCCACATTCGAAGAAGTGCCAAGTTCACAAGCCCCTGCTGCGATGCAGACTGAGTTCAATGAGGAGCATGCATTTTTTTCAGGAACTCTCTTTAATCCTTCTATGGCTTACAGCATGATCCATGACAGACACAATTTCAGCAGGGGTTTCAACATGTAAATGTTTGGCATATGTACATGCCACAGGATCTGAAAAGGTTAAATCTTTCACGTGAAAGTATATGTTCACATTATGCTGAAATGGTGCTGAGTTTAACAAGAAAATCATTGGTTCTATAGAATCTGAGTGACATCTGTAGGATGCATGTCTACTGTAACACTCCATCTGGAATTCCATCTTTTCCCTTCACTGTTGATAGTTGTACTGGTTGAGCAAGAGTACAAAACTAGACTAATAACATTGAATTAATTAGAAGTCCCACTAGTGAGGCAGAGTCTACTATTAGTCATGCATGCTGCCTGTAGGCCTCCATTTTGACTTTTATAAGTACATGACTTTCATCTTTTTTTTAAATCATTATTATTTTTAAACCATGGAGTCGATAATTGATCTGTTACAGCTTCCTCTAAGTTCTTTTCTTCTCCTTTGGAATCCATGAGTTTTCTCAGGTGCCATGCTGCTTTCTTGGTACTGGTAATTAGTAGCTCTATGGGTATTTTGAGAGTGCTATTCTGTTTTTGCTTTCTTATTCTTCGACATGACCTCCATCATAAACGGTTATTGTCCATCATACAGGTGACACTTGACATAACATACTCCATGGGACAGGCTAAAAAATGTGTTATGAGGAAGAGTTTTTAATATAGAGGTGCATTGTATCAAGAGTCTACTGTAGTTCCATAAATATTTTGACTAAGTCTCTCAACTTGTTTTTATTGCATCTATTAGGGTTCTCAATGTGCATTGCACCTGGCCCTCATTTTCTACACAGCAATGCCATCTATAGAACTTTGATCAAACTGCAGTTTTGGATCTTTGATTCTTGAACATGGTGTTCCCTTTTTGCTCCCATTCCACAGGTTCATAATGGACCCCCACATCCATCCAACTTTGGATACAGCTATGCAAAACGAATGGTTGACGTCCTCAATCATGCCTACAATGCTGATCATGGGAGGCTCTTCACATCAGTGGTGCCTTGCAACGTTTTTGGTCCTCATGACAACTTCAACATCGAGAATGGACATGTTCTTCCTGGGCTCATGCACAAGGTGGCATCTCTTTAATTGTTAGAGAGTGAGTGATGAGAAAGTAATTGTGTAGGTCAATTTACATTTTACCTCTAAATGGAATAATAGAAGTCCCCCCCTCCCTGTTTCTATTTCCCCACCTTAACTGCCTACTTAAAAAAGACAGCATTATAGTGAGTGTCTGTTTCCCTGGATTTTCTTCTATGAAGCGAGCTCATAATTGATTTTTGGCATGAAACTTGATCTCCAAAGCACATTCAGAGTCCCATAGTTGGAGCCATAAATGGATTGAGGTATTTGTCATATAGTATGTAAAACTTAGCACTTGTTTGTAGGTTTACCTGGCACAAAAAGAGGGGAAGCCTTTGGAAGTGTGGGGAACTGGTAACCCCTTGAGGCAATTCATCTACTCCTATGATCTGGCCCGACTCATGGTCTGGGCCCTCAGATCTTACACGGAAGTGGAACCTCTCATCCTTGCAAGTATGCCTATGATTAATTCTTCTTGTTTCTTAGAATTGCACTGAATCAAGATTTGAGGGAGATTCCAATTATAGACTTATGCATTGAAATACTGTTAACCTGAATTTTGCAAGATAATGTATACCTTCTAGAAGGCTCAGTAAATTGCCTCATGTAGGTTCTTAAGTGTTAACACATGGAGGTTAGATCATATAGGTATATTATACAATCTTAGTTTAATTTCAGGTCTCCTATTTAAAAAAATTTGCATCACAATGGCATGCTTGGCAGGTCCTCCTTCCATTCTACATTTATCTCCATGTGAAGGATACATTGGCATGCAGAATCTTGTTGATTACAATTCCCATACAGCATAGGTATGCCTGTGTGCCAAAAACTTGGCCTCTTTCAGGTTCTTTTCAGGCTATTCTTTGACTGAAATCATGCAGAGAAGTGTCTTATTTCAATTTCCTATGGCAAACACCAACAGTAGTGAAATTATAAGCTGAGAGGAGCTCAAGAAAAGCAAGCAACTTGGAGGTGTACATTCTAAAGTTATGTAAAGACGCAGACAATATGCAATTTTGAGAGCTCACTGAGACAGGTCTACCACTATTGGACTACCCTGGGACCAGTCGATGCTGTTAGGTTTGTGGGTCTAAGATATTTGCTTTCCTAAAACCCTAATTCTAGTGCATTGAGGAGAAGGATTTTCAGTTGTCCTCCCTAATGTTAACACATAAATAAAAGGCATTTTCAGAATTTGCAATTCCCGAAAAGTTTTCTTTGCTGTGAGATACTCATGCATGTGTCAGATTTGCAAAAAAGAAGTATGTTATAGAAATATGTCTTTCCTTATTTTTTTATATTTCCTAAATTGTAATCCTGTAGTTTCCTGAGTATTCCCTGTTTTATGAATATACCACCCAAGTGTCTGACTTTCAGCACCTAGGTGCTATCCCACCATATATATGTTCATAAGAATTTGTGGAAACATTTGATTCATTGAGACTTCTTTTCTGTAGCGGACGAAGCAGACGAGATCAGCATCGGCAAGGCAGCCATCCTGATCGTGAACGCGTTTGGGTTTCGAGGCCACGTGGTGTTCGACACGTCACAGCCCGACGGCCAATACAAGAAGACGGCCAGCAACGCGAAGTTGCGCAAGTACTTGCCGGACTTCAAATTCACTCCAATTGAGAGGGGGATCCAAGAGACAGTGGACTGGTTTTTGCATAATTATGAGCAGGCCAGGAAGTGAAAGTGCCAGATTTCAAACCATCAGGTGCAGGGACCGGTGTTAGGTTTGTCATTGCTTGGATATAAGGGCATATACTCATCTCAAAGCTGACCAGATATGCTGTTCCATGATTCTTTTTTTTTATCATTGAAGCTTGATTTGCACCTCAAATACCAAAAGCACTGCACTGCAGCAGTTGTGATATCAAAGATGCTACATTTGCGAGAATATGACTCAAATACCACATGTAATACGCTATGGCTTGTTCATTATCGAGCTGATATATCGCTCCTATTGTGAAAAAATTTGAAGGGCAATACAGTGAGCAGCTGAATAAAATGTGAGTTTTCATGTCTTGAACCTCAACTAAGAGATTTGCGAGCAGATTTCGTTTCTCCCTCCATCGTTCTCTGTTGGAGTGCAATAAGCCCGCAAATTTGTAACTGCATGAAGGCTCATTATCTAACTGCATATAATTTCCTTCTTAATTGACCTGTCACTTTGTGCGAAGGTGGAGTTCGTCCTTTTTCACTCTTCTGGCTTGCTTATCACATGTTGTCAGGCTGAATCCTAGTCAACTTGGATTGCTGCAACCGTGTCGGATTCTCAATGGAAAGCCGTGGCAAGGATCGGAATGGTTTCCACTTGATCGTGGTGAATCGAATGGTGGGGTCATCTTTTCCAGAAATAATCTCATTCTTTTGGTATCAGCTGAGCCCAGACTTTAGCATGAAAGGGTCTTTCATGCTAAAGTCTGGACTCAGCTTTGCAATAATGCATGATGAGTTTTGGGGGAAACCACCTTTTCATACCATGGTGTGCTGTTGCTACGAATTCACTTCTGCACCGTTTGGCTGGAGCTTTCGATGCTGGACTGACCTTAACTTTGACATAAAATTTCTTAAATATCCTCTATGCACATTTCAAATTAGTTTATTTATCTCCTGGTGCAATGCTCTGTAAAATACGTTAATAACATACCCAATGAATTCATCACCACCCCTCATCATGCAGCCACCCCAGCGTCGCACATGACGTCACGGAGGAGAGGGTGCTGAGAGGGAAGAGCTGAGGGTGCTAAGTAAGGTGAATTAGAAGCACGAGGCTCCTTCAGTCCCAACATGAGTCTGAGCTTTGTGCTCCGTCAAGTTGGATAATCATATGAATCGTCGAGGGCTGAATCCCCACCATTGAGCAAAAATTACCGCAAAATCCACTAGACAAATAGGCCTTTAGACCCCCGTGGAAAAAATGCACCCGCCCTATTTGCTATCTTTGGACGCGGGCCCATCCGGGTTTCCGGTCCCGTCAAGTGCCGGCACGCGTCGCGATTCGAAATCGCAGGATGTCTCAATCCTCCGAGCCGAGTACAAAGTGGGTTCTCTGTGCCGGTTTCGGCTTGTGCATTGAGACGTGTGGTCCTCCGGCGGGTTTTTATGCCAGATTCGCAACGGAGATTTTTAAAGAATAGAAATGAAATTTCGAGTCTGACATCTGAATAATTGAAATCATTCCAACGTGAAAAAAGAAAGAAAACTCGATGAACCTTCGCATTCTCTGAATAATACAATAATCAAATAATAATAATAATAATATTACAGCAAATACAGGGTGACAATGAAGTCCTTGGAACAACTTATATTACCATCTACCACCCAAAATTTTCAGCAACTAAAATGAAAATTAAAACATAGAGGCCCACGTAATGAATAAAAGATACCAGTTGTTTTCAATGCGGCCCCCTTCAGCTGCCACCGCTGCCTCGAGCCGCTTGCTCTCGGCTGAGTTTCGGGAGGAAATTCATCCCATGGCTCGACCAAAGCTTTCTTAAAGTCAGCTTAGAGCGGGCCTTCGCCTCTGACATCCCCCAGATGGGGAGGTCTATGGGAGGATGAAGTCTTGGAAAATTCGCGGCGGTTGTCCTTGTGGGGTGGGGCGGAGTCTTGCTGGAAGGTCCATTTTTGGCCTCTAAATTGCTTCTATGCCCACGGTTGCGGGAAGCCTTCAAGGACAGCAGCACGGTAACATTCCTGACCGCGATCGACTGAGTTCTTCTTTCCCTGATGAAGCCAGTATCGGTTATTCAGCCGGTTAAACTGGCGTTCAACAGTGAAAGCAGCAAGATCCAGCGATTTCCAAGTAGTTTTTTTGTTATCCTGTATATCCACGCGAACCAAATGAACGAAATAATAATCTTGATGTTAAGTTTAAAATATTTGAAAGAGACCAAAGGGTGATTCAAAATTCTGACAAATCATTTTATTTTTGGATCAATGCACAAAGGTTTTTTCTTTCATCATATAGTTTTTTTTTTTAATTTATCCGAAAGTAATTTCGTCACACCCGGTACGCCAATGTCCATTTTAAATTTTTTATTGAAAAAAAAAATATATATATATATATAGGAAAGCCTACGTTTTCTCATTTCTAAAAGTTAAAGGAGACGCGAACTCGAAAAAGCGTCTCGTCTTATTGAACCACCCGGTCCGCGCTCAAAACCGTTCACCCCGGCAGCGGAAGCGAGAGCCTGCGATTACCGACAGTTGGATGCAGGGGAGGGCAGAGCGCGACTCACGTTACCCGGCCCCATCCACATCGGGTTCCTTCCGGCCCCATCCACATCGGGTTCCTTCCGACCCCATCCACATCGGGTTTCACGCGGGAGGGGATGCACGCTCGTGGCGGAGCGCCTTTTATTGCCTTAGACGGGTTTCACACCTGTTCCCGGTAAGTTTATCATGATACTATTTTATTTATTTGTTTGTTTAATGTTATTTACAAGAACGACCCGCGCATGTTTTTTTCCCCGAGAAAACGTAATAAACGTAATTTATTTTTATTTTTAAAGAGTCTATATTTTAGCTATGCAAACCAACGGCACTTAATTAACTAATTACAATTAATTAACTTATACTGCTAAATAGAGCACCTTCGACCACATCATCAATTTTGAGGGCAACTTCGACTCGACGACACGCAGTCACGCTGCAATCCGACCGACAAACTCCGAGATATAAATCGCATTTCATTCTCGACAGCTTTAAATTTCTCAACCATCGACCGAGAGAAATCGGAGACGCGCCCGACTAAAAGCCCCCTTCCGTTTTTCGTTCAGCCTCTCGCGGTCTCTCCGATCGCGGGAAGACCGCGAACACCGCGAACACGGGGAAAATGAAGGCGAAACGGCACCCAAACCCGGAATATTCGATGAAGCGCCCACCACCCGCCGCGTCCGCATCAGAACTGACTCGAACGCGACGCTGGGCCGAAGGTCACGTGACTGTCGAGTCCTTCCTGATTGGCGGATCGCGATCCGTTCCCGAGAGATCTCTTAATACAATTTCCTCCACTTCTTAGAGTGATATTTGAATTTGTACCATACCATCTTTTAAAACGTACCACGTCCAAGGAGGTGAGAGTAAGTCTCTGGTGATTTAAATGACATTAGGTCAAACGAGCTTTTGTTTCAAGTGGCACGAATTCATTTTCAAATTGCTGAAGACTCCTTCCTCACAGCTGAATGACGTCACCAGCTGTGAGGACGTCATGAATGACGAAGGATGACGTCATTCATGACGTCATCCATGACGTCATCCTTCCCGCCCTCTCACGAACGGGCAGCCGAGACGTCCCATTTCAATCGAGTTGCTGACGCCGGATTCCACTTGTTGCACCGGTGCAGGTCCAGTGCAGACGCATTCGGATTGCACCGGTGCAGGTCCAGTGCAGACGCATTCGGATTGCACCGGTGCAGGTCCAGTGCAGACGCATTCGGATTGCACCGTGCCTGCAGTCATCGCCGCCTTATCGTAGAATTGCGACCAATTTGGGTTCCTCGTACCTGAAGCTTCTCCTTCGACCATCTTCGACCGGCTTCGTGTGCAATGTCACATCATGTCACATCATGTCATGTCAATGTCATGTCTGTCAATTGTCACTTTTTGCGAGAAAGTTGAAGACGATCAGGATTCGTCTTGATTCATTCACCATGGAATATCTGAGAAGAAAAAGAATTCTCGACTCCGATTTCGTGCGTGGAGCGCACTTAGTGATGCTTAATGAAGCTTAATGACTTAATGACTTAATGAAGCTTAATGACTCAAGGAAGCTTAATGACGCTTAATGACTTAATGAAGCTTCAGCTTTATGATGTCGCTCTTTGCGACGACGTCGCGAATCGAGACGGCGCTTTGACGCGCGACTCTCGTCGCGGAGTTCGCGAGCCGATTTCGCGCGGCTTCACGCGGGGGAAAATGCTCCAGACGTTTCTTCGGCCGACGCTAGATGTCTCTCGCGAGGCAAATGAGCCATTTTCCGCGTTTTCAGGAAGCTCATCCGTCCTCATTTCAGACTTCATTCGCTTAGGCAAAATCAAATTAACAGGCTCGGAGATCCCACTTAGGACGCAGGACGCAGAGACGCTGCGTCCTAATGGCAAATGCGTCCTAACGGCAGCCGGGACTTTTTAGAAGGATATTTCCGTCTCAACACCAGCAAAATATTAATGCCTTGCCAATTTGCATGTAAATATCACAGGGGAAATTTGTTTTTGGCGAGGTTTTTGCCACGAGGAGATCCTTTCTCGCAGATTTTAAATTTGCACGTCTCCGCTCGGGGTCATCGGCTCGAGCGGCGTTCCTCGATCGCGCCAGTGCTAAGTTCGAAACGAAGGTCAGATAAAGGTCAAATGAAGGTCAATAGAGATGGCACGATATGCTTAAATGTATTTTGAGCTGCGTCTGGGCGAATCCTTCGGCAGCGTTCCCAACGCCTCGATGAACGACGAGAAAACGTTCAGAGACGACCGCGGGACGTGACGCGGGACGTGGAGCGGGGCGTGACGCGGGGCGTGACGCGGGACGTGACGCGGGACGTGACGCGGGACGTGACGCGGGACGTGACGCGGGGCGTGAGGCGGAAAGGTGAAGACAGGTGGGTCAGGACTCTGGACAGCAGCGACTGAATAATTCCCGATAAAATCACCTAATTTAAGGTGGCAGCGAGAGAGAGAGAGAGTGAGAAATGCCGGATTCGGCTCTCTGGGTTCTTTCCAATCGGATGCTGCATCCGCGCCCTTTCCCCCCCCCCCCTCATCGCTCGGGACGGACCTCGGTATGAACAGGCCTTAAAAGACGACAGGAATCGACTTTGAGAGGAGAAAAAAAAAATGGCCTGCGATCGAGGCGAGGGGAAGGGACAGACCCTTCTCTCTCTTGCTCCGTCATTCTTCTCTCTCTGTGACTCCGTCATTCTCCTTTCCTTCCTCCAACAAACATAGAACTCATGAGACATTAACAACTTTCAATTAAGCCTGC